ACATATATATATATACATATATATATATATATATATACATATATATATACATATATATATATACATATATATATCTACATATATATATATACATATATATATATACATATATATACATATATATATACATATCTGCCTCGTACCCAGGTGTCTCTTTGTAAAAAAACAGTGATGCGCATATGACGAGTTTACATGAAGTATTGTAGTTGGGAGAGACGGGCGAAGGGGCTGATGGGAAGAGTGCACTTGAACTGCGAGACGCCTGGCAGTTCTTGGTCTATTTCTTGCAAGAATAGTTGATTTCTTGCAAGTTGTGATATTACGCTGGCGCTTTCAATCTTTTCCTATTTTTTTGTGTTGTATTGATAAATCTACGTATCCATAAGTTATTTGAACGTAATTTTATCATCCTACACGTGGAATGTAACCCTTGACACATGACGTAAACTGGGAAAAATTCAACATGTCAACACTTGAAGGGGTCGATGAAGGCATGGAGGGATTAAATTTGCAAGGTATGACAAATATTTAAATTGATCGTATTAATAAATAGTTCAACATTGTTTTACAAACGGTATTTATTCATTTTAAATGAAATATAGGCAAATCAAGGCCTGTACGACGATCCGCAAGACATCTTGCATGTAACTTTCAACGTCGACCTACAGTTATATCCCCGGATTCTGCACCAAATCCAAGCGAGAAGCATGACCTGACACCAAAATCAAAGACTTTGGGCTTACCACGAAAGAAACGTGTTAATATCAGAGGTGAAAATAGTTGTTAGTTATGTAAATTTTCTTGGTTCAGTTAAATCACAATGAGGCACATTGTGATTAGTCATGTGCACATTTTATTGGGCACCCATCTGCAGCCCAAAATATGAATAATCAAAACGAAAGATGTAGATCTTGATTAAGGTATTCAGAATGTAAAGGTCAATTACATCATTACTTGTCTTATGCATGAGTCAATTCATACTGTTACCACCCCCCCCCCCCCGGGCAACACCCCGGGGATTTGTCATTCTTTTATTCGCTGTTAGCAAATTCCCCACCCCTGGAACTTAGATATTTGCTAATTCACAACCCCGGGGCAACAAGAAAAATCAGTACAGACATTTATAGTCAAATTATTTAATGAATTGCAAAGGTGTATTTAATTTCCTGACCCTAAATAATGTAGAATTGTCTAATTTAATTTAGACAGATTTAACTGTAGCCTAACCACGCACCAACAAACTCTGGTGACTTGCTAAACAACAATTCTTTTAAATTCTTCAAAATTTTCATTGTCATTTTGAAATTTTGATATTTAGTTACCAGGCTCTTACTTATCTCTTCACTGGGTTCCCACCCTATACCCCCGGGGATAAAATGTGTTTAACAATTCCCCACCCCTGGGATGTATTCTTTTGCATTGTCCCCAGGATTGCCCAGGGGGGATGGTAACAGTACAAATTGACTCATGCATTAGTTGTGTTGAAGTTTAACCACCACCACAACACCACCCCTCCCCTTAATTTTGAACAATTACCTTTTCATGGGTGTTTTGTCCAAACTTACCAGTGCGACTACGTATATCTTTTAAAAATGGCATTATAATTGCTCATAATTTTCATATTTTAAGGTCAACAAGTAAGGCGCAACATCCAAGAAACATATCATAATGAGGCAGTGAAAGAGGATGTCAATGTAGAATATAAACAAGGTAGAACAAATAATTTATTTGATAAGGATGAGTGTGATATTGAAAACTATCAAAGCTGACATTGTTTTATATTACAAAGCTGAAGCCTGACTGCAGTTGTTTCTAGACTCTGTCTTTTCCACACCCCATAAAGTGGTGTGGAAAAGATGGAGTCTAATAAAAATCAGTTGCCTAGATTTTATTACACTGCATTAATTTAATAGAGCATTCATTGTCTGGGAGAGATGTTAAAAAAAGACAAGAACAATTACAACTGAAATTACATGAAGAGTTTGAAGAGTGTAGTGAAAAAGAATGTGATCAGAAGTCTATTTTATATTTTCTGGGACTTGGTGACAATGATAAAAGTCTTGCTACGAGAGCAGTTACGGCCGTATTTCCATCATGTCAACTCAAAAGAGTTCAAAGGAAAGGTCAAACTATGTATCTTTTAATGAAATGAAATTAAATTAAAGTAATATATAATAATTATAAGCTCATTATTATTTGAAATTACCCCAGCTAATGCTTCTCTGCATACAATGTAAGTGTTAGGTATGAAGTTGTATGGAGATAGATCAAGTGAGTGGCAGCTCTCTATTGTTGATGATTAAAATCGTCTGGCGTTATACAGAGTAAAATTATAAAGTAGGGGCATCAGGGTGCATTGCTGGCCACATAAAGGTTAACAGGATGCACTGGCACGTGGTCTTGTTAACCCATTGAGTGGCAGCACTCTTCTCTTGACAAGTAAAATCTTCTGGTGTTATACATGCATTGCCACTTAAGTAAATGGTTCAAATGTGGAACAAAGCATGTATGGACAGATAGTTTTGGGTGACCCCCATAAATATGAAGTTAATTAAAATTAAATGAAGTTAATTAAAATTAATTTTAATTAACTTCATGTTATGGGTGACCCCCATAATATGAAGTTAATTAAAGTTAATATGCAGGGCATCAGGCACATTGCTTCCTTAATAATCATTTAAGATATATTTATAAGAACATAACACGAAAGGCATTGTACCCCCAAGTGCAGCAAGGGAATTTATCACAAATTGATGTGCAAATAGAAAGAATGCAAGGTCAAATATCCTCATGCCATATGCAGATACAGGAATTATGGTCAACGTTATTGGTCCATATAGAAAACGATGGCCCTTGTGAAGAGTCAATTAAAATTGCCGAACAGCTTAAGATTGAGCAAGACAATAAAGATAAATATATGAATGCACTAGTTAAGTTATACCAGTCTCAAGTGCACATTAGAGAGTTTCCGAAAGCACAACGGCGACGGCGGCGGCAACGCGAGACCGGTAGTTTTATGAAACTGCGCATGCGCAAGTCAGAGGAAACCCCAAATTGACGTTCTCGTTTCACGCGACCGACGTGAAGTAAATAAACTTCACGTTGCAGCTACGACGCGAGATCAAGGGAGAAAACATGGCTGCTTTGGCCTCGACTTCCTCGACTTTGGCTGCTCAGGAGAAACAAAAAAGGTGGATATATGTTTATTTTGACCTGTACTTGCACTCCAACATGATTTATACGACAAAACAAAGTGTTTTGATGCATAGTGGGGCAATGGCTAGTATTCGTTAAACAAAGCAACAAAATATACCTAAACGTTCCTCGAACGTTTCGACAAAGCCCTTTGTCAAATATTGCTGGGAACCTATAAATTGACCTTTTCTATGTGGGACGTTTCTAGATTTGTCATGTAATGGTTGCAAGCATAGTAGCTCTCACTTGTTGGTTTAACTTTATAGATGGGCAAATTTTGTTTTAATACATTTCTGTTTGTTTACTTAATAGTATTAAACCTATGTGCTGGACTACAAGGCATGATGACCTATTTATTCGTGAGATCCTTATGTTCGAGCCATGGAATTTCAAGAAAGGTTCACCCGAAAGAGGGAATTGTTGGAAAAGTATTGCTGAAAGCTTAAATCAAATTGTTGACCCTTCATTCAGGGTGGAAGACAGATCTGTCAGAGATAGATTTAAATTGCTGGAGAAAAAATATATTAAAAAAACGAATGAAATGGATCGAGCATCAGGGATTGCACCAGAGGAAGAGAGTGAGATGGAAAAAGGCTTGCGTGAAATTATTGAATTGTTTAAGGACAGTGATTTGACAAAGCATCTGGAAAAGGAAAAGCAAAGAGAGGCAATGGATAATGAAATGCAGCAAGCAGAGGAACTGCGGTTGCAATCTCTTGAAACTATAGGAGAAACCTCCAGAAGGAAAGGTAGCGATAGAGAAGAGACAGCACCAAAACGAAGGAGGTCTGACGACACCATAAATTATTTGAGAGAGAAGAGTGAGAAAGAAATGCATGTGCGACAACAAGAGTTGGAACTTAAGAAAGCTGAACTGGAGGAGAAGAAGACAGAATCAGAGAGACTATATCAGATGATTATGCAACAAAATGAACAAAATCAAGCTTTGTTGCAGCAACAACAACAAGTTAACCTTGCTTTGATACAATTTTTAACAAAACAGAATGAACAAAAGTAGAATTTGCATGCCATCTTATGTTTGTTTATGTTTTTTGTTGTTGCAAAGCTTTTAAAAGAAACTTTGTGAACTGTTGACATTAATACATATTTGCTTTCATAGTTATCTATTTCAAAATCAAACTCTTTACTCAACATGTCACAAAAGCACAATAATTTTGTGAACCTCAAGAAGTATTTTGAACTGTTTTAGACTTACTTAAATTTATAATATATATAAATTGGCTTTAGACTGGCTGCGAATTAAGAGTAGACACAAACGGCTTTTGTGTGGGAGAATGGGTTATGGGGGTGAAGTACTCCTGTTACAATCAGTGCTATACTATAAGTATATTTAATCCAACAGACTCTTCATGGCCTTACATTTTATCCCGCAGGGTATATATGGCCGCTCTGAAAACACTAGGGGCAAGGATCCCTAGGGCTGCCCTGGGGGTAAAGGTCCCAAGAGCAAATGCCAGAAGGGTAGTGACCCCTTCTGACCTTACTGACCTGAACCAAGGGGTAAGGGTCCCTTGGACAGTTCCTATAACTTGACTGATTATATTTACATTGAATAAGGCTTTGAAACATGTAACCTCTCTCATATGTGTTTGGCCAATTCTATTTGTGGACATGACAATCAGAGACAGAGGCCAATAATTGAAATAATAATGCCTTTAATTAATTAATTAATTAATTTAATTAATTAATTAATTAATTAATTAATTAATTAAAAGTAATTTAATTTCAACCTATAAAAGTCATAAAAACATTAATATTTCATGAAGTACAGACAAAGATTCAGACCATTCACTCTGTAAACGACACAATGTATTGTCTGAGATAACAGTTTAAATACATGCAGTAATATGTTACTTTTATAAAGTGGGGGGCCAATTTTGTTTGGGTGGGAGACCAACAAGGGGGGCTGGAAGGGGGGGGGCTGGGAATGGCCACCCAGTATATGTTAAAAAAATGCTTTGATGCAACATATTCAAATCAATTGTCATATAAATTAGACTAAATTTGCAATATCATATAAATTAGGACAGAGCATTTATAACAGAGTTATAAATTACATATATATAGTTCTGTCATAAAAAGAGAATTACAACACTTCAGCTGAAGTATTCTTGAATTAATGCTGGAGGACACTCAAAATAGTTAGATGTGGTTGAGCCATAGAAACAAGACCTTGAATTCTGTAATAGAACACACACAATGTACATTTTCCCCACAGCACTTAATTGAATCTTCAGATTTTTGTGAAAGTCCAAAAACTTAAAATAGTTCAGAATATCACCAAACACCCATTCAACAGAACAACGAACAGCACTCATAGCCTTGTTCCAGTTCTTTTGTTGTTCGTTCACTTGTGCTCCTCTGAATGGATCCTGGAGTTGCAGACGTAAGGGGTATGCGGGATCACCGTAAATACAAAGAATAGAACCATCAGGTGCCCTTGAATGTTGTTGAAGCGATTCTAATAATCGTGATCTTGCAAGCATGGTACTATCATGGCGTTTTCCTTCCACAGGGCCATAAAGATTAGCACACATTCCATTAGGTGCTACGACAGATTGGAATTTTATGGCATGTACCTTTTTATGGCCATTGTATAATACTCTTTGGTGTTGACCTGGTCGGCAAACTCTCCTTACAGTACCATCTATGAATCCCCAGCAATTTGGTAAAGGTGCACCATGATCATGAATTGTGTGGGCATATTGTTGTAAGTTTGCAGGTGAAATTAAGCCATTCTTGTTCAAATGTTTGAAGTAAACGACCCCAACGATCATAAACAAAGTTCATAGCAAGGTTGCTTATCATTGAAAGTTGTGGGACAGATAGGGCAAATCTAGGCATAATACCCAAATACCTGCAAGGATATGCAAATCTTTTGAGAAGAACACAAAGTGCAGTCAGACCTAAAACTTTAAAACCATTGACACATTTCATTTCTTCTGGGATTTGCAAAACTTCATAAAGCGTGTATATGTCATTTTTTAAGAAACGAAACTCAGCTTTACACTCATCGTTGCAAAGGTCATCCAGGTCAAATTGTTCGTAGTCCCAATATGGCAAATCAAGATTTGTTGATCTGTTAACATCATAGAGCATTAAGAACTCTTCGTCGTCAATAAAACCTTCATCATGAGCATTTAGCAAAGCATTTCTATTTTCTCTAAAACTCGGCATTTTTGTTCAAGTATGAAACCAGTGAGTACTATAACATTTTCACGTTTCGCACCAAAATGAGCATTTGACGGAATGAATAATACACGAAACCGCGACGGCAACGTCATGAACGAAGTTGCCGTCGCCGTCATGTTTTCGGAAACTCTCTATTATAGCATTGCGCAAGTGCCGAAATGAAGAATCTTTTCAACTTATCTGGTCGAGAGCAGAAATTGCTTCCCAAACAGTGAAAAAGAATATCCAAGGCTCCGAATTTATTTTCAAAGATGCCAAAGTACCGAGATCGAGGCCATCACATCGATTGCAAGCTCTCATAGGTGAACAGTCTAGTAGTGATCTACAGCCAACTGCCAAGAGTAACTACCGCATCACAACATATTACCAGACCCTAGATAAAGTCCTTCTTGAGATGAAGTCACGTTTCGAGAGTAATGATCAAGATATCTTGTGTGCCTTGGCAGACGTAGTTTTCAACTCAGTCCCATCCGACAAGAACCTGGCATTAGTATAATCTTTCTACACGTTAGATATTGACATCCTCAAAGGTGAGAAAAATATATTTCAGAATTTTTCGATCAAGGATGCAGCAAAGATGAAAAATGCCGCGACGGTTGTAGAAAAGATGCACCAAAATGGGCTAGACGAAGTTCTACCGGTATTCTACCGAGTGTGTTCTATTTTGGCTACAATACCTGCTACCTCCTGCTCGGCAGAAAGGTCTTTCAGTGGCTTACGTCGTGTAAAGACATACCTCCGATCTACCATGGGCCAAGAGCGTCTAAGTGGACTAGCACTTCTCTGCATTGAACGCGCATATACGAACAGAACTGTGGAAAGTGACATGGAAAGCATGATTGACATTTTTGGAAGCCAAAAGAGCAGGCAATCATATTTCTTTTGACAATTCTATATTATTGTATATGTCCAAAAGTGGTAAATATAATTATTAATATTATTATTAGTTATTGTTACTATGTGAATATCCTTATTAGTGAGACATCTCTAAACACACATGCGCATGATAGACAATGTAATGGGATGGGGGGGTTACGTTGAATTAAAGTCGGGCATTTTCAGTGTCAGTTGGGCATAATGTTCATTGCCCCCACCTAAAAATTAGGCCCCGTACGCCTATGGCAGTAACTACACAAACAGAAAGTATATGCAATACATGGGATGTTTGTACATTTTTGAATAAAAATTTATATGCACTTATAGACCTACCGGTAGTCGGGAGCAGCTGCATGCAAGCAGCTAAAATTTATAGCTACATTTTTCTCATCTGCTCCCGATTATACAGTATGACTATGACCCTAATATTGTGTGTGAATTTCCATCTACTATTCATCGTTTAGTTCTACAAGTATCCCATGTACATTCAGTTACATGAATCGAGATGCTGATGCAAAATCTGGATATTTATCCATATAGCCTTACTATATTCAAGAACTTGTGGTTAATTTTCAGCAATTGGGCTATGTAGTTCAGTGGTGGTTCGATTATTGCCGAATTGTATTTTTGTTCCCTCGCTTCTTCCGACGCCGATTAGAATTGACTGGAATGATATACAACAATCTTGGTTAATAGCCTTTAAAAAGAAGGTCATGCAGATGGCGAGCAATTTTCATATATATCAGGGGCGAAACTTGAGGGGGGGGGGGGTATGGGGCAGCCAGTTATTAAGTAACTTATTACAGCTAGCAAACAATAAGCAGTTCGTTTGCATGTACTGTGGCATCGGCAGTTCAATTATACATGTAGCTTAGTGGTGTATTGTATTAACGCTGGCGCTGCAGGCTGCAGGGCATCATTGGTTTTGGCAGGGTAATTCTGCCAAACACCCCCTTAATTATAAGGGGCTAGTTTCGCCCTTGAGTATATTGAGACAGTTCTTTGCACGTAGCCATCTCTTGGTTTTATATAATATGATTTGTTGGCTGAGGCACGTTTTGGTCATTGTTTTATATTTAAATTCACTTAATTTGTTCTCCATGAAGCGTATCGAAGGACTTAGTATTGCACAATTTTTCAATGTCTTATTTTCATGTCGAGAGAAATTCTACGATCTCAATATCATCGTGGGGCGATACATAAAGGGTTTGTAATGGATTTTCACACAGGTTCCACGGATAGGACTAGAAAAAGAACTTATCAATGGTTTGAAGAGATATTATCCAGAACAGGCAGATAACAATGTTGAGGAAATTAGAAAAGAAAAGCGTTAAGATAAACGAACTAAATCGGAACAGAAGATTGAGAAAATACTTTATTGGCCTAGAGACGGAATTTCACCACGAGATCGGCACAAACTGTAACACAGGAAAGGCATGAAGTCAAGTTCATGCAAGTCCATCAAGTTCACACTCTTTGAGCTCTTCTTAAAAAATATTCCGCGAGCCGACGGCGCAAAGCGCCGTGCGAGGGTACTAATTTCCCCCCGGCTATTTACACCCGGGGAAACGAAAGCATTAGCGAAGTCTAAAGTTCATCAATTATCGCGGGCGCTCACCAACGATGTTGGGTGGGTGGTTATCCTCACTGATCTCAAAAATATGGCGGACTGTCATGAATAGCCGACACTGATTGGTCCAATTTAAAGTTTGCACTATAACGACTGCATAACGACAGCGAAATAGCAAACATTTCTTGATTTGATGATTGATAAATTTCTTGCAAATATATTTCATTTTTTCTCGCATTTTTGCAAGATTTTGTAAATTTCAAAAGCTTTCTCATAAACAAAGGGCGAAAGAATCGGCTAAAAGAAGGGAGCCGACGTTAAAAAGGTAAGCTTGTTTTAAAAATTGATTTTATAATTGCTTTAAAACCTGACGGCCTTTGGCCTTTTGCGTATATGAAACTTATTGAAGCTTATATTACGTATACAGGGTGTACAAAAAAAAGCGCAATCCTCGACTGAAATGTAAATTGCTAAACAAATAATACACGAAAACGTTAAAGTTTACATTCATTTTAAAGCGTAGCAATTCAGCTTTCTAACAGTGGGTTGTTTCTTAAATTTGACTAATTGGTTCCCGGGTAATAATACTTTACGTTATTGCGATTGGAGATTAAAAAAATTGAGATGGAATAACAAATCGTTCTCATGAAAATAACTGATTTTTTCATCAAAACAAAAAATGTTGCATTTTATTAAATGGATTGTAACAATAAGTATAATTACGGCTTTTCTTCCACTATTTTTAACTCAGTTTGAAACTTCAAATGCAATATAATTTTGGCTTGGACCATCTAAGCTGACTGACATCAACTTGCTATAATTTATGTTTACATTACATCGCAATTCGATGACACTGTGGCTCAGACACCAAAATGTTTTGACGATTTTTATCATTCGTTTAGGATTTTCAAAAAACCTGGTCTCTTTTAAAATCCCTTTAATATGTTCTTACGTGGTTTTCCAGATGTAGTGACAACAACATTAAAGTTTAAAGAAGAAAATTCTAACATTTAAACCGACTAAACAATAACATAGTAAACTTGCATAATTAAACAGCAACTAAAAATTATAGGTTTTACTAAATAAAATCTTTTCCTGTGCAATTATTACCAGCATTGGAGACAAGGATAATAGTTTGTTTGAAAGAGAAAAGAACAGGCTTTGAAGTAAGCCTAAAAGCGTTTAACTAGAAATAGTATTTTGAAAGTTATTAAGCACAAAAGATGAATTGCGTTTATTATGATACACCCTGTATATAGGATATTAGACGGTTACGAAGAGATATGGTGAGAACGAGTGAGATATTGTTTTTGACACGAGAACATAAATCCATATCTTCTCGCAACCGTTTAATGTTGATCTATTCTAAAAGACCACACGAGTCAGAACACGAGTGAACACGACACAACACGAGTGAACACGAGTGAGAACACGAGACAACACGAACACGAGTCAGAAAACGAGTGAACACGAGTCAAAAATTTGTGAACACGAGTCAAAAACTGACGAACACGAGTAAACACGAGTCAAAAATGACGAACACGAGTCAAAAATCTGCGAACACGAGTCAAAAACGCATTCTTAAAGAGGATCCCTACAGTTTTAAGCCCGTGATGAAGGTCTGTACTGTGTAATTGCACGCGGGTTTCTTGGCGGCCCACAGGATGTTGGATTAATAATTAACAATTATTCGCCGAAGGCGAGGTGATTATTGGTGAATAAAAACCTAGACGAAGTCGAGGTTTTTATTCACGATAATCACCGAGCCTGAGGTGAATAATTGTTTTAGTATAATTTCATAGGTGATTATTTAGAAAAAAAATTAAAAATACACATTTCTTCGTCATTTAATTGACAAAACGGCTTCGGCCGCCATTTTGAGAATCGTTTAGGTGATTATCGCGTAATAATCACCTCAACAGCAGCCAATCAGCGTGGAGAATTTTGAATAATCCCCTATGTAATTATACTAATATTAATTAAAATCATAACGAAAACTTTATTCAATTTTAATAATAATTATATTACTTATAATTATTATAATTATTATAATTATATTAGAATTAATTATAATTATATAATATATTAATTATTACAACTATTATTATTTAGTAATAATTATTAGTAATTAATTATAATAATTATTATTAATTAATTATTAATAATATAAAAGATGAAGATGATGGTCCGTAAGATGAAGTTTTGGTTTTGCTTGTTGTTGCTGACCAAAGTAATGCGGAGTCTTTGACGGTTCACCGTTCACATGATCACATCTTGCCACATGGAAAGTTGGAAACGGCGAAGGCGAAATATTGTAATATGAAAGGTTAGTTTATGCTTCTATACTATTTGCAGTTATATTAATTATGCAGTAATTATGCAGTATTACAGTGATACTTTATATTCATTGTTGTATTTTCTGTTGATATGTGTTTTCTATTTACTAAATACATTTTTCGCGAATGATTTTTTTGTAAAATAAATATTCGTATAATACATGAACTTACGATTTTAATATGACATGAACCATGTCCATGAACTTATAGTTCAAGTATGACATATTGGTTGACAAAGTGGTGATATGTGTAAATTGAAATGTACAACTTTAATATGAAACGGCTTAGTATTTAATAAAAATGTTATTTTAGGCCAAGCAGTATTAAAATCCCGGTCTCTCATCAGACGTTTTTTAAAATGCAAATGCGGCGCGCAGGAGTTTTTTTTTTACTTTTCATATTAAACAACTAGTTTTTTTTTACAACAAAACTTAAATTGTTTAATAAAAACCACTATTCTACCGTGTATATTTATTTAAAATACAGTATTTATAAAATTAAAAAAGAACATGAGGTTGGCGGCCATTTGCATAAAATATTACACTGCTGACCACCCACCGCTAAATACTTCATGTAATTGCTATTTATAAAAAAAAATACAAATGCGGCGGCTATTTTCTAATGCAGGCGCTGATAAGAAACCGGGACAAACCAAACATTGTGCCACATATATTGAGCAACATTCAAAGAGAAATTGTTGAAGAAAAGAATATAGTAAATCCCATTGCTATGGTAACAATGACGTTTCAATATGACCGACATTTTAGCTTTTAACTGCATTTTACTCGATAAAACCACTGAGCTATACTATATTACTGGAGAACATGCTCGGGATCAAAAAGTGAAGCCAAAAACATGGCGGATTTTGACGCCATTTCCATGGCAACTGGTTCCTTTTGGCCATGAAAATACCACTGACCAGGCTCATTTCTGAGCCCGCTGAAGTTTTCACCCCCCCCCCCTGGTTTTTACAAAAATATTCATAGGTTTTTCGAGTTTTTGCAGTGAATTCTCGTTGTTTTTTATATTT